CGCTCGAGCGGATAGGTTTTGGCGACTAAAAAATAGTTTGGTCACCGATTATAGGTGTTTTACCGACAAAAAAAAAAAATTTTGTAGCCAAAGGTAAAGGTTTTTGGCTACCAAAAAAAAAAATTAGTAGCTAAAAGTGGACAATTGGCGACTAAAATTTAGTTTAGTCGGCAAAAGTGGAGGTTTTGGCGACTTAGTCGCCGAAAGTGGTTATTTTTAGGCGGAAATTAATTTTTTTAGCGACTAAATTATTGGTAGTAGCCGAAACTAAGGTTTTTGGCGACTAAAAAAAAATTTAGTTTGGTCAATGCATGAAAATATATTGATGATTGTTAGTAGTACAATGAAAATTTTGGCCCATAGAAGTATGAAAACCATGATAATATTAATATCAGGTAATTCAAAAGATCTACATACAAGAGGATACTTTCTCCAATTTGGTACTTACATAATGCATTAGATGGGAATATAAAAATAATTTACAACGTAGGAGATAAAACACGGCCCTAGTAATTAATAATTGAGCAACCCAACCAGTATTTGTTAAGTGTCTCCTCACCTGCTCAGGGGAAATGCCAACAATTTCCAAAACATTTTCTTGAATCTCACGCTTATAAATTCTCAAGCTTTCTCCACCAATCTGATAGCACCACAACAATTAAGTATTGCACCGTTGAATTTCACATGTTAAGTATTGGCAAAAGATCAATATTGCAACTAACAGAGAATAGAGTACATATTTATACCCCTCAAAAAAACACTCATTAGTTTTACAGTGAGCAAGAAATTGGGTACCGATGATATGTATACAAATTGGGTACCGATGCTATTAAATAAAATATCCATTATATAATCATTGAAGTGGATTCCACACCAACTGATTGTGTGAATGCTATTTGTTAATTGCTCCTCGTGCAACAAACCAAGTGACAGAACATTCCTGAAAAATGTAAAGTCTTAAAAAAACAATTTTACCCTTCTCATTATATGAACAAAGGTATTATATTAAAATAGTCATTATATATACATAGAGATAGAAAACTAATTACCTCACATTAATAGTTTTCAATGCATGCATTTTATGGGATTTTGGTTTTCATGTTTTAATTATGTTAATTTATTAGTTCTTGAAATATGAAATCTATGCTTCAATTAAAATATTTGTTGACCAAGTAGCACTTTTTACTCTGTTAACTTTTAGAATTGGATTTGTAACTGACAAAGTGATGAAATAAGAATACACGAAAAGAAGAGGAAAAGACTACCTCTAAGAAGCCAGCTTGATCAAGGATTGCCCGCACATTTTCTGACATAAAATCAACTCCTAGAACTGTGATATATTGGCAACCAGCTTTTACCATTGTATTACATGTAACTTCAAGCCAAGGGCTTTATGTGTAAACGAGTTAGTACTCTTTTGTTGTAACCAAGTGTTAACTTGGAAAGCTGTAAGCCCGTAGGGCATTTTGTTATGATGTTAACATGTAATACTTATGTAATGGAACTCTAAGGAATAAAGGAATGTGGTTAGTTTATATGTAAATGCATGTCTTATCAGATGGGTTTAATATTGTTATTTTGAGGACGTTACACTAACAAACTTTCAGGATTTGGTGATGTGCCCCTTCCCAAATGAAGAGAATGGTGGAGATTTTTTATTGGAGTTCGAAGGCTCTTTGATGATACTTGTGTTAAAGCTATGAGTTAATGTGTTTTGGGTCAGAGATCTACTTTTTGTGTAACCAATGCACTTGTATTGAAAGTTGTAAGTTTTTAGGAAAATTTCTTTTAAATTCTCTAACATCTTGAACTATGAATGTTCTACTTAATTGTAACTTGGGAAAAGTGATAAACTATAATGGTTTGCAAGTAATTCAATGAGAAAAAGAAGTATTCTAATTTTGGATTATTGGCACTTGTCAATCTATTTATTTGTTGTATTTATTTCAGGGAATAGAGAGGGTAATTATGAAATTGAAATTTTAATTTGTTCTCAAAATACTGGGGCATTACAAATTGCCCGAATTGCATATAATTTTTGTGCTCCTGCGGATGCAAGCAACTAAGTTAATTAATTTGTTAATTAGACTATATTTACATTTGTTTTTATAAAATCATTAATACATCAAAATAAATAATTTATATTATGTAAGAGAGATAAAAATTAAAGATCTAATTTATGGTACGGTGTTCTTTACAATTTTTGAGTGAGAAAAGAAAAAAGTAAGATTTTGTGTTAATTTACTTGTGTATATGATTTAACGATCTACATTACTTTAACATCACCCAATGGGTAATAATTTATATGTATATTTAATAATTTTTTTTATATTTACATATATAATCCGAGTTTCGAATTGTTCGAGTTGTTTGATGCCTTTACCCAAGTCAGTTCAAATTTAAATTGGGCTTCTGAATTTTTGCCTAAACTTACACCTAATATAAAAATATTTTGACGCAAAAAAATTCAGGTGGAGATTGATTGAGTTGCTCAGATTTAGCCCACCCAAGTTACACCCCTACTCAAAATATTACATTAGCATTAATTTTCACTTATTTATTTTTCATCTTACATCTTTTTAAGTTTCATTAACTATAAATTACTATCCATAATATATTATATTATCTATAATTTTTATTAGTATTTTTATTTCGAACATTCCGTTTGTTTGGGTAATAAATATTTTCTAAAAAATATTTATTGTATTTTATAGCATTTGGTACAATGGAAAACCAAATTCAAATGGAAAACAAATCCATTTTGGTAGGAAAAAAAAATTCTATTATTAAAAAGTGGAAAACATTTTTTGGACAAAACTGTTACGAATGTCACAACGCTATCATTATCACTCTTACCTCCACTATTACACCACCATCACCACAACTACCGCCACTATCACTGCGGCCACCAATTCCTTCACTTTCGTCCCATCACAATCACTACCAAACATTAAAACAAAAATATTTTCTATAAAAAATTTTCTACAAATTTTGATTTCTACCAAAACAAACGGAACGTAAATCATAAAATTAATTCGCCATTGTCATTGTCACCGCCACCAATCCAATTTAGCCATACCCTAATATAATCTAGGGCACCATGTGGCTACCCTGGATGCAAAAAAAAAAATAAAAAATAAAATAAAAAATATATCTATGTATACAAGAACCATTTAACTATTTGAGATTCGTATTTTTTTTTCGATTTTACCGTTTCATTTTGAATAATTTACTAATGTTGGCCTTTATATTGAGTGAATGCTTTTTTGTAATTATGCAAACATTCTTGGTTAATTATGCAACAGGTTTTTTTTTTCATAATTACGTAAATATTCTTGGTCAATTATGAAATAGGTTTTTTCATAATTACGTAAACATTCTTGGTCAATTATGAAACATTAATATCTTATTTTTTAATAAATTAAAAATAAACTCGTAAGATTTGTTTAAACTATGAATCGGTCCTATAATACTAGAAATTAAAACTATCGTTTATTATAAATTTTAATTCAACATAATACTTAGGGGAAAAAACTATTCTCATATGCAATAATAAATTATCAAAATTGTTTATTCAAAAATATTTCTTATATCATTAAAAATTGTTAATTGGTTTAATGATTTATTTATTAGCAAAATGGTTTACTGACAAATATTTTTCATATCATTAAAAATTATTAATTTACTTAATGACTTACTTATTAATAAAATTGGTCATTTGTTATGCGAGTATGATTTCTATATTAATAAAATTAGTCATTTGTATGTATATGTATTTTCTTCTGCTTCTTTATTAGTTCAGTAAATTATCTTAATAGTTTTTTTTTAGATTGAAGAATTATTTTAGTATTTGTTTTATATTTATTTGTTGAGAAAAGCTACGTACCATATTTTTTTATTTAATTTTTTTATTTATGAATTTCAAAGAAATGTTAAAGACTCATCAATTCACCCAAAATGATATGTTAATAGAATTGGAGTCTACATCATTAAATAAATCAAAAATGATACACATCATACTACATAATTCTATTATATATCTAATAATTTATTCTATTCAATTTCATAAATAATATTTTAATTTTTTAAAAATTATCAAAATATAAAACTTAAGCATACCATAATAATAATTCGTGCCTTACATAGGCTTTTTTTTTTTAAAAACAGAGGGATTTCTATCAGATATAATAAGAAGCCATACCATAATTAACTATACTAATAGATACAAAAATTGTTGACATCTTTTTAATGACAACCACAAATGTGTACCGTCCCCCACAAATGTGTAGGTCCGAAATCCATATCCTCTGTATCTTTCACTACAAGAATTTACACTTTTGGCAACAAAAAAATTGGTCGCTAAAAGTCTATTTTTGGTCGCAAAAGTTATCCGCGACCAAATTTTTTGGTCGCTACTTTAGTCGCCAATTGAGGGTCGGCAAAAGTAATTCGCGACCAAAATTTTGGTTGGTCGGCAAAAGTCGGATTTGCCGACTAAATTTTTGGTCGCGAAATATATCATTACCGCGACTAATTCATTTAGTCGCTAAAACACTTTGGTCGCCAATTATCACATTCAACGACCAAAAAGTTTGGTCGCCAATTGTGACATTCCTTGAAGATAATAAATTTTGGTCGCCAATCGTGACATTCCGCGACCAAAAAGTTTGTCGCCAATTGTGACATTCCACGACCAAAAAAGGTTTTGGTCGCATTTGTTACTTTTCGCGACCAAAACTTTTGGTCGGCAAAAGTGAGTTTCCACAACCAAAAGCTATTTTGGTAGGCAATAGATGTATTTTTTGCGACCAAAACTCTTGGTCGGCAATTGTCATTTTTTGCAAAAAAAAATTATTTATTTGTCGCGACTAATAAATTGGTCGCCAAAGCAGAAAAACACATACACTTGTAATTCCTAATAATTTATTCAATCCATAATAAACCTATAATTTTAAAGCATCACTCAAATTAACTGAATCATTAACATTCGACACAATACATAATTCATTAACATTCGATTTATTAAATTTCTATCAAACAACCAGACATTGTTCCAATTCAAACTGAAACAACCAGACATCCCCACCATGGTGTTCCACCAGACATTGTTCACACAAAATAATGACAACCAAAGAATCCAACAACACCTTTCTAAACTGTCAAACAACCTACTTCCAAAATTTCTTAAATTTCCCAAAACACTAGTGTACATTATATACATCCTACTTATAGAACTACATTCCAATTCAAACTGAAACACCCTAGTTTTAGCAAGAACAAAAAGAAACAATTCTACGAGTAAATAATATGTGGAAGCTTTGACTAAAACAAAAACTCTATTTCAGAAACTTCGAGGACATTGTGGACACCAATAGGGTTCACACCTGGCCGGAAAGCATTTCCTTCAATATACCTGTGACAACATTTAATCAATTAGCATTTCACCTAGTGTTGGGTAATTGCAATTTGCTTGTACTGATTGAAGACAGAAACTCACATTTCTTTCAAGAAAGTGTGCTTATAGAATGCATCCGGGATTCTCCCAGTAAATTGATTATGATCCAGGTACCTGCATATTTCAGTACAACAGTAAAATTAACACCACCACAAAACTCTTTGGAAACATAGTAACACTTTTTCCTTACTAAAACAAACACGACCACAAAACTTTTTTTTGAAATGTTTCTATTTTCATGCCAATTGGAACAACATATATATCAAAATGCAATTTTGATCCTAATATTAAACATATAACTCCTCCGAGTGTATCAGATAAAATTGTTCTAAGTTGTAACAACATATCTAAAGCTAGAGACAGTTTTCATAATAGAATAATACATACATATTAATTTTTTCAGAATTGATAACATTTTTTTTAGATTTGATAACATTAATAACACTAAAAAATGGTTTCAAACTATCAAAAGCATATTTAACATGTACTGGCTTTTTTAAACTAGTAGATGTTTATGGAAAAGTGTGTTGTATTGTATTGTATCTCTCTCAATACTCAGTTGTTCTTATCAATTGATCTTTTGATATAAAAACAGCAGCCTTTTATGATATATCTCAGATTTATTTACTGAAAAAATAAGGTCACAACTGACAATATAATATCAATTTTGAAGATTAAAACTATTTTGTGAATATTAAATGCTTTCGTTTTTTTTTATTATTTATTTTACAGTTATCATCAAACTAGAGGAAAAGGCAAGCACTAAACCACCAAAAAACTAATAGAAAATACATAAAGTTCAAAATCAATTCACTCCACTAAACCACCAAAAAATCATATAAAAATACATAAGAAAAGCAAATTCAACAGGAAAGTATGTAAATACATAAAAATGAATTATATCATACCTTTCAAGGTAGTCTTGGAAGAAGGGGAGAGAAGGATCGGAGAGGATTGAGGAATTGGACTTGCAATCATCGATGAATTGCTTTAAACTGGTTCAAGTTTGTGATCAGAGAGGAGATTGCAAAGAGGTCAAATCGTTTGATATAGAGGAGCGTGTAGAGATCAGTTAGGGTTTGAGATCAACTTGATTAACAAAATCTATAATTGTGATCTATGCCCCTGTTGGTTAAAGAGAAATATTAGGTTAGATGAACCTAATACAACCAAGATATGCCTAGTTCTGGAAGTTCAGTGTTTTGGTAAACTCGCATTACTCTTTTTTTTTCTATTTTTTTTTTTCTTTCCCCCTTTCCCTCCACTTTCCCGATAACCAAATAGTAAGTATTTAAAGCATTTAGTAATTTTGAATAAGTAACTTCTTCCAAGCCCTTTCATAAAATTGATCTAAAAACTTTCCATTAATCCTTTTTTTGTTTTCTGTTTTTTATGGTTAGTGAGATTTTATTACCAAAAACAGATAAGTACATCAACAAGAGAGCATACCTTCCAAATACCTCTCAGGACATTGCACCACTGGAACCCCAAAAAACTGCTTCAAGTGATCCTCCAATCAGCATCATTTGGACTAAAAGAGAACTGATTTCTCATAATTATCACTAACCAGAGGCTTGTTCATATGCAGATATAATTTTTTTGTTTTTAATTTTGAAATTAAGTCCCTCCATAGTATCCCTCCCAAAAAACCAAGTTATCATCTGCATAAAAAAATATGATGAGATACACTAGGATTTCCCTGAGCAACCTAAAGACCATGTATCACATCCTCTTCTACACCTCTGGAAAGCATAATAGATGAAAAGACGATCTCCCTACCTAACACATCTTGAGGATGAATACAATCCTTTGTTTCACCATTAATAAGAACTAAGTATGCAAGGAGGAGAGTGTTGATAAGTTCTCTGAAACTCAATTTAGAGATCCATTCTTGCAATGATCTTACCTTTGAATCTTCTATAACTCTATCTATGCCAAAATTGAGAATTTTTCTATGAATTGGTCAATTGGAAGTTAAGAAGACCTAGTTACTCTCATTGCCTCAATTTTCCTATGCTCCCTTATTCAAATTTACAACCATTTAAGTCACAGGATGAGACAGTTGAGAAAATCTTCTATGTTCCATGTGAACAAACTCAAAAGTCACCATATATTCCAAAGGTGATGTTTGCTTAAGGTTACATTTTAGGAGGGGTAACCTAACCTGGAATGGTGAATTTTATGAACCAATTTAAAGTTTGGTATGTACCCCTGTCCAAATACATGATCCTATTATTGTCACTGTGTAAACAAAGTAAGTTAATTATGAGCCGTGATTTCCTTTTATTTTCAGTTACACTTCTAAGAAAGAGTTGTTTTAACAATAAATAAAGATAAATTAACTAGTTAGCATTGGCTTTTGTCAGAAAAGAAAAAAAGAAAAAATTACTCGTGTTCTCATTTTTGGACACAAATAATTAACTTAAGATGTACTGCCCCATTGAACCCGGTGTACCACGAGCAATTGCTTTCACATCTACATTACCAGCCAATGGTTTATCTTGTAGATAGAGCTCCAATATCTCTTGGCGACCCCGCACATCTGGATTAGGAACAACAATCTAGAAACGAGTTCTTGTTAATTTCACCCTTAAGATACAACAGAATTTTTACTTGCTTAGACTGATAACAGATAGATCTCAAGAAAAACTCCAAATTGGGGCTCATTACTAAATAGACTTCCTCAAGTTTCTGCAAATATTTTTCAAAATAAGAACATGTATTCCTAAACAATATCATTCATTAGACCGCACAGTTTCTATGCATCATCAAAGAACTTCATGTCTATCAAATCTACCAGGCCTTGTCAAAGCTGGATCAAGTATATCAGGCAAGTTCGTTGCAGCCATCAAAATTATGCCCTAAAAGAAAGTTAATCTTTATATTAAACATGCATGAAAGATATTCATTGCTTTAATGTAACAATCTTATCATATGTACCTCATTCTGTTCAAAACCATCCATTTCAACGAGTAACTGATGCAACGTTTTCTTTGTATGGCCTTCCCATTGCTTCCGTGTGGAGCCAACAGCATCAATTTCATCAATGAAAATGATGCAAGGAGCCTATTAAAGCAGTAATAAGTAAATGTGAAAATCAGTAAGTTTCTTTCTAAAACATACAAATGTTAAGAATTGGGGAATCCTGGGGTAAAAAAGAAAAAAAAAGAAAAAAAAAAAGAAAGAAAAGATTCAGCATCACTCGCTTTCTCAACATGTGAAACTGTTGAGCACATCATTGGTTTCTTTATATATAACATGATGCATTCATTTTTTGTTCGACTCAAATAAAAAAGGATGCCAACCCTTACAATATCTTCTGAATTGGTTATTAAACATTCAGAATCAATCAAATAAAAAGGAACTTTCAACCACATAGTTTACGTTATGACATCTGAAAGTTTAGCAAATGGGTAGTGCTTATATCAAGTGTCGCAAGTAGGAATCATGGCAGCATTCAAAGTACAATGAAGGTCTAAAGCGTTGACCCATATTCTTAAATGGCAATTTTTGAAATAATGTGGGGCCAGGAGGAAGTTTCTCAGCCACAGTGCTCATTTTTCCATGTGAAGTGTTCAGCGAACTTAAAGTGTCTTCTTCTTTCTTTGTCTCAAGTATAATGACGATCTAAAATATATAACTGCTCCCATAGGCCTCTCTACAACCTTAAACTCTTCTATGTCCCCTGGCCCCCCTACTTCCGCTTCATGCAACTAAGATCAAGCCAAAACCAGGCTTGAACTGGGCTTTTGCATGGCCCTCAAATTTTTGATTATTTTCCAAAAAATAGGTCAGCTCAGGGATCCGAGCCAGCTCACAAGCCTCAGGTCCTTTTTACATGCCTACCCCAGACACCAGAAATTACATCTAAGCAATCATCTGTTTCCTTTTTCTCCTTACATTGTTTCTCAGGCACAGTTTTCTGGAAGAACAGCTCAATCACTCAAGGAAGTGCCCCTTTAATAGCCTTTGATCAAAATGGCTTATATCAGCAGAGACATAAATCACATAAATATTAAGATGAATAAAGGATAGTCCTAGCTTTGCGAGGACGGTGGCTGCTGCCAATAGGTGGTGGTGGGTTGATGCGATTATGGCTTCATGTACATCTATTGAGTTTGAGGTTGAGGGTTTGAAAAAGATATATGAAGTGGTTAATGGAGGATTGAAAATAAACTTGCCGACAGCAAACTTGAAATGCCACCAAATTGCGATATCAACCAACAATTTACGTAGAGAATCAAATGAAGAATTAAATCAAGCGTGGTGTTGCCAAATATAGAATTTATTTGCACCATTTCACTTTTATCTTTTAGATCTATCAGACACAACATATTCAGGTATTAGCAACTGACTCAAGTCATGGACTGGGTCGAAAGGCATCACATATATAAACATAATATGGTAATAAGGTCTTGACATAGACGTGATGTTCCCATGATGAATCAATCGATTTAATGTGGGGATCACTCTTTCCTGCATCCTTCCAACTCCTGGCAGGGTTAGTGAGTTGTGTAATAGGCAACCATTTGCGTGTTGGGGTCAACATGTTAATATCTGATTCTATAAATAAAACAATTAATCTCAAATATGTAAAAGTTTCATTTTTTCCTTTTGGTGGAGTTGGGGGAAGAAAAAGGAAATCATTTTAGAAGGCAACAAAAAATGAGATGCGCACTCTTAACTTGAGATGCGCAACATAAATGAGATGCGCACAAATAAATTGTTACTGAAAAATTGTCCTGGAACGACCCGTGCTTCATCACCAAAAGCAATAATAATTCTGGGGAAAAAAGAGAGTACAAAGTCAATCAACAAACAGAAAAAAAAATAAAAATAAAAAAAAATAAATTTGTGCATTAACACAAATGTCTGCATTAACACAAATGTTCATAACTAAGCCTCAATTACTTATGTGCATATACATATATGTTGGATTGAAATGTGTGTGTGTTTGTGTGTGTGTGTGAGAGAGAGAGAGAGAGGTTTACCTCAGTCGGCGTTGCCAGGTTTTCGTTTTGGGGCAAAACCCTAATAGCTCAATCGGAGGGACGGGTTGAATCGGCAAAGGTATCTGAGACGCCACACCACCGCTGCCGCTGCTAGCTATCGTCACTTCGATGCTCACCGTCGTCGCTCGCTGCTCACCATCGTCCCCCTTGCTCTGCTGCCGCGCCGCTGCCGCTGCTTGCAGACGTGAGAGTGAGAGTAGAGAGAGGAGAGAGAGATGAAATTGGGGATTTTTTTGTTTAAGGGAGTTTTTTGAGTTGGTGAGAAACAAAAAGAAGGGGGGGGGAATTTAGATAGAAAGAGGGGAAACGAAAGAAAAAGAAGAAAAGTAGAGGAGAGGCGGTGTGCGTGGTTTATTATTATTATTATTTTTTTTTTTTTTTTTTTTTTGTAGTTAATGATTTTTTTTTAAAAAAACTTTCATTTTTTTATTTTTGATTTTTTTTTTAGTTACTAAGGTTGAAAATTTATTTGTTTCATTTTTATTTTAATGAAAAAAATTATTATTATTTTTATTTGGTAGAAATTGGGGTAATATTTTAATGAAAAATATTTTCTATTAAAATAAAGTTAATTTTTTGTGGTCAATTAAAAACATTTTCTCGCGGCCCATTTTTTTTGGTTACCAAGAATTAGGAACTAATTTTCTATGGTGGAAGAGAGGGAGCGGCAACAGTAATGAAGGTGGTAGATAAGAGGTAATGGTGGTGGTGGTGGTGATGGTGAAGGAAATTAGTGGTGAAGTTGTGGTAGTGGTAGAGGAGATGGAGTGGCGGTGGTGGAGGAGAGGTAATGGTAGTAGTAGTAGTGGCAATAGTAGTGGTGGTGGTAGTGGAGCGGTGGCGATGGTGGTAATAATGGTAGTTATAGAGGTGGAGTGGCAACAGTGGTGGTAGTGAAATGACATTTACAGTAATAGTGAATGTGGTAAAGGAGATGGGTGGTGAGAGAGAGAGATGAGTGAAAGACAGATCGATGTGCCAGAGGTTATAGTAGTTTTGGCGAAGCTGCATCTTGTCCAGATGCTCTTGCGACGCCATTGACATCTTCGAAGAGCTCGAGACAGAGAAAGAAGAGAGATAGAGACAGAGAGATAGGAAGATGAAAAAATGGGTGAAAAAGTTCCGTGTCTAAAGTCTCCTTTTCTAGTAGTAAGTTGTCTCTATCATTCATGGGTAGAATAGAGGCGCGGATTTGGGAATTGTATATTTTATATAAAAATCAAATTGAAATATTTTATACAATCACACCTATTTAGGGAGTGTGATTAAATATATATATATATAGTGGATAATATTTAAAAAGTGTGATGAAAAAGTAGTATATATAATCACACTTTAATTAGAAGGTGTGATTAAAAATATATATATATAATCACACTTAATTGAAAAGTGACATAAAAAATAAATATTATCACACTCAATCAAATTAAGTGTGATTAAAATATCAATCTAATTTTTTTTATCACACTTCCAATAAAAATGAGATCTTTTTTTTTTTGTCAAAGTGTGATCTTTAACTATTTTTTGTAGTAGTGGAGAAACAGAGAGAGCAAGAGACTGAACTTATTTGGGTCTATGTACATATTGATAGAAAATAAATTGGGCGGTAATGTAAGAGTGTATTCCCACCAAAAACATGAATCTGTGTTTTTGAAATTGTTTAACTTTATTGCCGACAAAATGTTTTTTGGTCCCTAAAAATAAGTATTTTGCCGACCACATTTTTGGTCGGCAAAGATCCAAAGTAAAAAAATTTCATTAATATTTGGCGACGAAAATATTAGTCGCAGAAAAGGTACCTTCGCCGACAAATCTTTTTAGTCGCCAAATCTCAATCAACGGCGACTAAAATATTTGTCGCTAGATGTATTAATTTGGCGACTAATTTTTTTGGTCGCTGAAAATAAGTTTTTGGCGACCAAATTTTTGGTCGCCAAAGAAAAAAAATAATTTTTGGCGACCAAAAGACCATAGTAGTCGCAAAAAAAAATACCTTCGCCGACAAATATTTTTAGTCGCCAAATCTCAATCAACGGCGACTAAAATATTAGTCGCTAAAAGTACTAATTTGGCGACTAATTTTTTTTGGTTGCTGAAAATAAGTTTTTGGCGACCAAATTTTTGGTCGCCAAAAAAAATGTGACCTTTCGCGACCAAATTTGTAGTTGGTCGGCAAAAGCATACCACTTTCTGCGACCAACTCATTTTTTGGTCGCCAAAATATAACATTCTGCGACCAATAATATTTGGTCGCCAAAAATAATGATCATTCGCGACTAATTAATATTTGGTCGCCAAATGTCATTTTTTTGCGACCAAAATTTTTTTAGTCGGCAAAAGTGATCGGCAATTGTGTAAATTCTTGTAGTGTTTGTATTAATTGTTACATTAAAAACCATTTACAGCGTACCTGAAACCCTGAAAAGAATGCTTACCACACAATATAATCTCCTTCAGCAATCATAATATGTTACGGGTCAACCACGAAATCATTTTCTAAGAATTCTGCCTAGTTAAAATAAGGATAAGTTACAAATATACCATCTGGAGTTGGCTTAAAATACGAATTGTCTTCTGTAATTTAAAAAATTATAAATACTGCTCTGTCATAATTTTTTATTTAATAGAAGGGTAAATTACAAATATACCCCTTGA